GCAGTTTGGTTCTCGAAGTGGCTCATGTTGTGTTCTGTAGTTTAAAAACCAGGGTTCAGGAGAAAGTGTCTCCTGCTTTTATTGTCACCTCCTTTTGTTTCCAAAGCATTTTTGCAACTGCTCTTTGGAGGACAGAATGCTTTGGGTAGGGGTGCAAGTGGGGAGTGCAGTCTTGTGTAAGGATGATGGATCTCCCTGTTAAACCTGAATTGCACAATCCTGCATTTTTATCATTCTGATGACTATTGCTGGACTTGGGAAGCCTCTTTTTCTTGCCAGCTGTTTATACAAGCAAATCAGAGGCTTGATACAATGCAGATGGTGATAACCTTTTGCCATACAGAATCCATGTCCTTCTTTTTTTTTTTCCCTTTGGCAGTAAATCCTTTGTCTCATTCAGTATTTTGGACCCCCAAAAAAATCTTTAGCATTTTTTAGTATTTCAGAAACACAAAAGAAAATTGTCAAACTTCTACCACATTCCCCAGCTATTATCACAGACCCATTTGGCTCTGAAGTCCTGGTATGAAAAAATGTTTTATTGAATCATGTTTTAATTCAAGAATAATGGGGTAAATAAATGGGGAGAGCTGTAAATTATATTCAGTAATACCTCCTCCCTCTTCCATCTTTAAGGCACATTCCAACCCCAGATGGTGTGTAATACTCTGCCTAGACCACTAGTCCTGCCATCATTCTTGTTATGTTCAGCTTTATGTATTGGCTTGCCAACAGAGCTGATGGCTCCTGGAAATACTCATCAGTGTCGCTGCAAAGAGAAAATAGCAGAATCACAACTTAAGGTTTTGTTTGTTTGTTTGTTTTTAGCTTTATTATTTTTCTTTGTATATACAAGTGTTTGATATTCATGCGTCCTTGGTGCCTGTGGAGATCAGAAGAGGGCATCAGATTTCCTGGAACTGGAGTGATAAATGGTTTTGAGCCGTCATGTGGGTGCTGAGAATTAAGCCTAGGCCTTCTGCAATATCACCCAATGCTCTTAACCAATAAACCATCACTCTGCCTCCCAACCAGCTTAAAGTCTGTGTGGCTGATGAGCAGTAACTGTGAGAAGGATGTGCTAAGTCCATACAGATGTGAAGGAAAGACACTAGGGTCACCTAAGGCTAACATTCCAGGAAAGGATTTGTTCGTTTTGGAAGGCACAAAAAGAAAATTAAATGTTATATTATTTTAAATGATTTTTATTCTTCAAAATAGTCATATATTTAAGCAATGTTTATTGACCATATCTACCCTCTATTACCTCTTTCCAACTCCTCCTAGAGTATTTCTTGTGTAAATAGTACACATATTTGCACACTCACCTTCCTACTATTTACTCAAGACCAACTCACTCCAGTATCCCAGAGTTTACCCACTCTGTGCATTGCACAAACATTTATGAGCACCTACTTTACTCATACACTACTCTTTATAGCATGATAAAAAGAACCATAATGTAAACGAAAATCTACTCTCCTCTCTTTCCCTTTTCATCATTATTTTCATATTTCCAGTGTCTCGCTTACAGTTAGCTGCCATGACCTCACTAATGGCCATTCAAACTGATTGTGGACATTGTAGAGTGTCTTTGGAGATGCAATTGAGACTTTTAAATGGAACTAGAAAAAACAGGTCTCTATCTCTATTTTTGCTCATGGTGAAGAGCAAAGATGGTGCACACACAACCCACTGCCTTCTGGAAGCTTGTCTTCAGAACATGGAAAAATAGAATTTTATAAACAAATTGCCTCATGTCATTCTAAACAGATAATTGGGCTTTTCCCCAGAAATAGTACTGAGTAATATGTGTCCAAATGAGTGTGTAAGCCCATTAAAATTATTGTTTATGCTTGTAGAACTTTACCCTTTAATGTATATATATACTACAAATGTAAACACACACACCCCTCATATGTATACATTAAATGTGAGTGAGGCACTTAAGGGCATTCAGTTTCTCATCTTCATCTATACCCAAGCTACCCTTCATTGGCCTGCAAAAGGGACCTCACAGCTGCCTCTGGTTTCTTCAGTTTGTCTCTGATAGTCCTTAGACTTCTTTGTTTCCTGTCATGAGAAACCCCAGCCTGTGTTGTACATTTCCTGTCCTCGGATAGAAATCAAACACTTCCTTCACAAATTTCTGCCACCTTCTAATGGGTAATGGTATTTAAAGACTGCAGCCAGCTCATTTCTACTGGGGCTGGTCCTTGAGTTTGTGTGTGTGTGTGTGTGTGTGTGTGTGTGTGTGTGTGTGTGTGTGTGTGTGTATGTGTGTGTTTGGAATGGATTCCTAGAAGGGAAATCACTGGGTCAAACAGAATTTAGAAAAGACTTTCACAAGCGATTCTCAAGCTCAGCTGGCAAAGGAAACATTTAAGTCTAACCACAAATACTTCTAAAAAGAAAAAAAAGATGGTTAAAATTTCCTCTCCAAGTATAAAAATTATAAAGAAATAGTACCTCAAGCTCTATGGTATTAACAAGAACAGACAACCAGAAGAATAAAACAGAAAAGAATAGGCTCAGTCAGTGAATCATGTGGGGGAAATAATTCTCCAGTTGACTAAAAATGAAGGTACTCTCTACCATTCACTGAAGTAAAACAAAATTCAAAGTGAATTTAAGAATTTTTAGAACAAGCATTTGCAAGAGAATATATGAGTAGGTTTGACATATGGAAGAGAAATCACTGAGGCTTTCTCTTGAGCAAAAGAGAAGCTGCTGTTTCCTGGAAGCTGTTGACTGGGGGTGTTGTCTGCCCTCAGTGGATCTCACTGGGAGACAACCATACTTCTCACTGAAACGGCCCTTACCCCTGAAACACCCAGCTGCCACTCTGAACACCCTATGAGCTGTGCTAAGTCACCTTCTTCCCTCTCCTCCCTAAACCTCATCTCCTGTCCTGTAAATGTGTGGAGATGTAGAGGTCCAAATGAGACTCTACTTACCTCCCAAGATGCCACGAGATCCCACTGGGATGAGAAACTGTGTGTTTCTTACTGGACAACTAATGCTGAGTGGAATGCACATTCTGTGGACATTTCTTCAGTGTCGTATTGAGAATGGAGCCCATGTGTGGGTCATACTAGCCATGAGCTCTACCCCCAGGCTGGAACTTTTTCTCTGATATGCCTTTCCACCTGATGAAGAAATGAGGCCAGCCATCTATGGGCATCCAAGAAAACTCCAGAGTACAAGTTTCCAGTATTTCACTTTCTACAACTGAGTCATGTTTAGAATTCCTCCTCTTTCTTCCTTTTGCAAAGCTGCCTGAGAAATGTTCACACCTCAGATCTCTTCACTTCTATTTTCTGAGTTGTACAATGGTCTCATTCATGGTCATGCTGCCATCCAGAATATCCAAACGGAAGAGGATCTGTGACTCTGTGCCTCAAGAGGTGTCTATCTGTCATCTTCTCTGTGACTTAACTGGGTGGGTAGAGAGATTGGTACAGACTTCAGGGTCTTACCCAAGAGCATAACATCTCCTTTCTCTAGACTTTTCCCTCCCCTTCTCCCTAGAGTCTCTTGTCTGGGGATTAGAAAAGTCTCATGCTTGTCGTGCATTCATGCCAGACCACTTGTCCTTCATCAAGTGGGTGGTTTTTTAAACTGTAAGACCCAAGACAGTGAAGGCTGTTGATTGAGGCCCTGGTGTGTATTTGAGGAATGTCTGCTAACATTATGTATCTTGCTCTGTCACACACACAGGCCTTCTGTGCCTGTCTTTCTAGGCTCCCATCTGATCTAGCTTGCATTGCTGGACTTGATTCTTGGCGGGAGGAGGTGGGGTTAACATATTTAAACACCTCTTCTCAAACTGCTGGTGTTCTAGATGGTTCCTGGGGTTGTTTTCAGTTTGATTTTCTTTTAAATTCAGGTTAGGCAGCTTTAGTTGCTGCTCACGAATCAAAGAATAGTTCAATTATAAGCAGCACCCATTGATTATCTAGTGATAGACTTTCCTTTATACAGAAACTGTTCTTATAATTTGAAAAAAAATCTACTGAAGTAAATGAAATCAAACTTATCTTTCACATCATATCTCATTTTAATTTTGACAAAATATAGGGTATAATTGTTCCTATCTAGCCCACCTTCTAGAAAACAGGAAGTGGCTTTCCCATTATTACCTAATCAACCAAGCTGCCTCCTAAGATCTTGCTAGAAAATGTATCCTGACACTTCCTTGCCTTTCCCACAAAATTCTAGGGAAAAGCCACAATAGAAAATTGGATGGCACTACTAAATGCATGCCTGGAGTTCTTGTGCCTATGAGGTGTGATATTGTAAAGCATCCCTGGCAATGGAGTGGTAAAACTTCATTTTTGCCCTTGTCCATGGCAAAGGAGTTACACACATTGTAAAACAGAATGACCTGTCCTAAAACAATAAAGCTCAAATGTCAGCGTTCGTGGTTCCATGTTTTCTCACGAAGATAGGATGCTGCCAAAACCTGCTGATTTTATGTGAATCCTGGGTGGTCCAAAAAGATGAAGAATTGGATCAATTCTACATTTTTGAAGGAGTTGTGGAAAAACAAATATAGGAAAGAGGTCAGCCATCATAAACCCTGGAAAAGACACTTTCTGATGAATTTTTCTAGTGAGGTTGGGGGTGGTTTAGATAGAGAGATAGGTGCGATGTAGATGCATAGAACTCAGCATTGGTTCACGTTTCCAGGTCTGGAGAACTGATAGATTAGCTTCACAAAAAGTGGTAATTATTGAATCACTGTAAACCCTTGTTCTTCACTGACAAGCTCAGCAGCCATAAGGATGATGGTGATGTGGTTATAACGATGTTGATGATGACACATTTTACAGAGTTTTGCGGTTCATTTCGCCTCTGTGAGGCCATTGCAGATCCCAGTCTGTGCCTATTTCTATTTTTCTCTCACTGACGGCTGTTTCTCGCGTACCTGCCTTAGCCAGGAAAGGAAGCAGAGGGGCTGGCGCTACTCACACTGCATCTTCCCTGTGTCCTTACAGCAAATCCTTCGTCACTCTAGAGAAAACTCCACCAAAGTCATATTTCTCATCACCGATGGCTATTCCAATGGGGGAGACCCCAGACCCATTGCAGCATCGCTGCGGGACTTTGGAGTGGAGATCTTCACATTCGGGATTTGGCAAGGGAATATCCGGGAACTGAATGACATGGCTTCTACCCCGAAGGAGGAACACTGCTACCTGCTCCACAGTTTTGAAGAATTCGAGGCTTTGGCTCGAAGGGCATTGCATGAAGGTAATGGAAACTAATAGCATTACAAGTACCTTGAAATGTTTTTTGTCTCTCTCTCTCTCTCTCTCTCTCTCTCTCTCTCTCTCTCTCTCTAGATACATGAAACTCATTGAAGAGTAATTTCAAGCTCTCACACGGCTCTTGGCTTGTGACTGCTTTGGGTGTCATAAGATACTCTGAACTGCCCGGAGATGGCATGCTGACCTGGCAGCAAGCTTGTTTTGCTTTGTTTCTTAACAGCTGTGATACATTTTCCCTAGAACATCCATATGTTCCCACCTAGATCCACAGGATGAATTGAGGTGTGTTTGGAGGCCACACACGGAGTGGAAAGTCTTCACTGAGATCGCATTTACAGCTATCTGGACAGACGGAGTAAACATTCTGAGACATGAGCATTGAATCTCGCCAGAACGCTAAACACTTGACACACGCTTCTTGCCCTGACAACTAGGAGATAAATGGCTTTTGTCATAAGAGCGTCAGTCCTAAAGGGGGAGGAAAATTAGCAAATGTACTCATCAGAGTCCTTTACGCGCCATGCACATGAATATTAGGTGTACAGTTCTCAGTTAGATGGACTTGCCCGTTGTAATTTAAGCCAGGAGAAAAGAACACAGACGGTGAGGAGCTGACAAGAGATTTAGCCATGTGCCAAATTGGGCATGATCCTGGCAGGTACTAGAGTGAAAAATTTGGCATAAGTAGGAATCATAGCAATAGACTTGCACTGCCTGAGGCTCAAAAAACAAACAAAAAAACAGGTTATCCCTGGTGAAATTCCAAAACAGTTTTGAGTGGACTATCAGGCTATTGCTATGAATCTAATAAAAAGGGTTAGACTCTCTGGGGGTAGGGGTGAGGGTACTAGTTAAATTTATTGGTGGTAAGACTCTTAGAGAAAGGAGAGGAACTTAAAGCAGGGCTTGGAAGTGGGGAGGGTGGGTGAGTGTAGGGAGGAAAACCAGGCTTAGATTTAAGTCGTAGGCCTATAACTGAAGTTAAATTTTAAGAGTTAAGTCATAAAAATTCAGAATTCTTGGATTTGGATCCTAGTTTCATCATCTACTAAGTGAGTAATTTGGGGGTAAATTATCTGTCTTTTAACACTTCTTAGGTTTCTGGCCAATGGAATAGAGAATGAGAGTAGTACTTACTTCACAGGCTTGCTGCGGGAATAAAAAAGCAACTAGAAAATTGCTGATGAGGCCTACAAGGTGGATCATTGGGTAAAAGGTGCTTGCTGCTAAGATAGCCTAAGTGTGATCCCCAGGACCCACATGGTGAAAAAAAGGGACCGACGTATGCCCACATACACACACACTAAATAAATATAATAAGAAATTACCGATGGCACACTTAAAGTCTCAATAACTACTTTTATTGCTATCAATTACTTATTGTATATAAATGACAATGGGTTATTTGTTATTAATTGCTTCAGGCAATCCAGTCTTGGCTTCAACCCTCTCCTCTTTCATAATAGGAATTATGTAATTATATGTACCACAGTTTTCTCAAGAGAATAAAATCTCTGTATCTTACTATGGCTTCAGTGTCTAGCAGGTGGCCAGAAGTAACTGGCACTTCCTTTGTTTCTCCTTTCTTAGATAAAGTGGCATGCTGGCTGGGGAAGCAGAAGGGTTAGAGTTGGGGATAGTGGGTGTTACTAGATCAGAGTATGAAGTTATGGGCGTTGTGATCTATAGATGTTGTATCAAATTAATCTCTAGTCCAATTGTTCTCTGCCTTATGGGACCTGTGACTCTGCCCTAAAGTTATTTGGTGAAGAAATAAGGTCAGAAAAGGCTTTTAAGGAAAAGGTTGTTTTACTATCTATCACACACTGGACTTGCAAGGTGCCACATTTATTACACTAAACTCACATATAGAATGTGTCATACTTTGGTTGATTCTCCAGAAGAGTCTCTTACTGAGAAGGTATGACATCAGAAGTGAATCTAATGTCCTCTTTTCCATAGTCTTCAATTTGGATGGATCTGTTTAGGCTCCCTCCCAGACCATCTGTTTGTGAACACTCTCAGTAGTCTCAGGTTGTGGCATAGATTTCCACTTACTCCTCCCCTGGCCCCAAATACTACTTACCAACTTTCAGAGTCAGGCTTTTCTTGCTCCCTAAGGTCTTCTGTTGCCAAAAAACCTCTGGTCCAGTTTCTGAGAACTAATCCCCAGGGACCATTGTGTATACCTCTCACCCATATCCTGGCTTCTGGGCTGGAGTTTTAATGCAAGGCCTTGTTTTGCTGATCTCCTTTCCTTGAGACCAAGCCTTCCTCTAATTTTTGTTCCTTGCTGCCATACAGACTTAATATAAGGTCAGACATTTCATATTTGAGGCCATCTCTCATCTCCTTCACAGATCTTCAGCTGCAGACTGTTTTGCCAACAGTCACCCACTTGCATTCTTACTAGGGGCCCAGCCCTGTATCTGGACTTAGCAGCCTGACCCTAGCACTGGAATTCAGTCTAAGATTTCTTAACTTTTTCATCTGGAGATATAGACTTAGAGCTTGCTCTCTTTGAGGCCATCCATCCTGGCTCAGTCATCTGCAGCTTTAACCCTGCCTTATGTCTGTTTCTGCATGGCTGTGCTCAGGGATTCTTGGCATGCTTCCTCTCAGCTCTTGGCTAAAATACTCATAATTGTCTTTTTCTGCAAAACATGTGCTCCTATTCTTAACACTGAAAAGCAGCCTGGATTATGGCTGTTATTTAGCTTATGTGGTGATGCTCTTGGACAAATGACTACAGACACAATGCTATTTATTCTAGAGTCAGTAGCCCACAGTTGGTGCCCTTAGTGGTCAGGATTGTGGTTTTAGTTCTAACTTGAACAGAATTTGGAAAGTCTGGCTACTGCTTTCTGACCTCATACAGAGGTCAGAGATGCTGCTGTTGGAAGCCCCCATGGGGAATGACCTGAAGGACCAAGTGTGTTGACTACCTGCTGAATCTGCAGATTCCACTCTACAGTGCTTCATTTCTGCCTGACCCTGCGTGGCCTGGAGCACTTAGGATGATGTCCCAGACTGGGACAACTGAATCAGCCAAAGCTATCCCCCAGAGTGCACTCCTGCAAACAACACACACTCATGTGGGTGGAGGTAGGGAACAGTGGAAAATCAGACAGATTAGAAGAGCTATTTTCTCCAGCTTGCTCTTGATATGTAATGACTGGAGAATGTAAAAATCAACTGTTAATTTTTTAATAATTTTCTTATATCTTATGTTCCTTGTAGATCTACCTTCTGGGAGCTTTATCCAAGAGGATATGGCCCACTGCTCTTACCTCTGTGAAGCTGGGAAAGACTGCTGTGACCGAATGGCCAGCTGCAAATGTGGGACACACACAGGTCAATTTGAATGCATCTGTGAGAAGGGCTATTACGGGAAAGGTCTCCAGTATGAATGCACAGGTGAGCCTCTGGTTTTGGGTCCTGCTATATCAGTCATCGGTTGCTGTGTAACAAATGAGCCTGAAACTCTGTAGCTTCAAAAGTGTTTATGGTTGCTCATGAGTCTACTCGACAACCCCTTTGCTCTCAGCTCTTCTGTCATCAGCTTTGAAGTGGTAAGGATCTTATGTGGGTTCCCTGAGGTGCTTTGGAGTTAGCTGGCTATGGACTGATCTAAAACAACTTCTGAGACATGGGAGTCTTTCTTATATGAGGCTTTTCACACTGCATCAGGTTAGGATGGACTTGTTGAGGAGGTGGTGGCAGCAGGCTGACAGGATAAAGAATGAGAGTTTGCCAGGCCTCAGAACATGGAGGGAGAAGATTTGAGGTCTTTTATCTGTAGGCACTCTGTCTTCTAGGTGCCTGAAACTAAACTATGCCTCAGTCTATTAGATTGAAACCAGTGGGATTCCAGTCCCTGGTCTACAAATAGTTGTCAGATTATCACAAAACCAGCAGCATACCCTATGGCCTTTTAGCTTGTCACAAGACTCCCCGAAAGGAAATTAAAAGGTTCTGAACATGTCATCACTGAAACGCAGAATTTATTCCATTGACCTTCATAATTTTACTTCTCCACATGGTCTAAAAAGACCTTAACAGTCAATGATAAGATGTTCTCTGGAATATTGTATGCTCCATTGTATTTTAAGTATATTTCATATTTGTATATGTATGTATATATATTTATATATATAAATAGTATGTAGTTTTTCTGTATAGGATTGTGTCTTTGCTTATATTGATTTAGATCTGAAACAGTAGCTCCAAGACCTCTGTGATGTGTTGTTTGGAAAACTGTATGCCCATGGGACTTCTTTCCCACCAAGAGCACATAGGAGCAGGGCTCTGTTTTCATTTATGTATATTCATGTAACATTTTGCCATTTTGCTCTGGTGTTTGGCTGGGAGGCCTGGGCTGCATCACAGACTCAGAGCTCCCCTCTGTACCTGCTATTCTCCTCTTGCTCTTTCTTCCTCCCCGCTTATAGGACATTGTCTGTGTGTCATTGTCTAACTCTATTTTATTCTTGTTGTTCTTCATCTTACTTCCCTTCGTATCTCCAGCCTCCCCTGGCTCTGATGCCAGATGGCAGACACATCCTTGCCAGGTCTGACAAACCGTGTTCACCCAGCAGATCTGCTACTTTCTTGGCCCTATTCCCACCCCACCCAGCAGGCTTCCCCGAATAAGCAGAAAGGGGAGAGAGATCAACCCAATGGCCTCCGAGTTGGCACAGAGCCTCTGCTTGACTTTTCTCTTCTCTCAAATCTTCCCACACTCTCCTCAACAACACCCCTTCCCTCACTCTTCCCACCCTAACCTACCAAACACAGGCAGAAAAATCTTATTTCCCTTGCTTGATGTTGTGTGGTCAGCATGTTGGCTCTCCGTGTGGTCCTAGACTGCACTGTTCCCTGCCAACAGACTGCTGTCATCACTGTGTAGCTGCCTGGCAGCATCAGTCACTGTCGGCCACAGTACCCGTTGCTTCAAGGCACTAGAATTTTGCATCCCACAGGATAATCTGCAAGAAGAAAGAGGTAACAGTTCACACCCCTCTGTCCCCACTGGAAACTAAATGCTGAAAGGAACAGCAGTCCACAACTGGGTGCCATTGGAGGGTCAACAAAAGGGATCGGAGGCCTTCTGTTGTTCCCTCCAGTCAAGACCATGCACAGTAGGATTAGCTTTCCACCCATTCTCCTGAATTAGTAAGCCTCCATTTGATGCTTACTGACAGGCAAGACTGAAATCAGATATGGTTACGCTGGTATGAATATGTATATCATCATCTCCAGCTGCAGTTTTTAAGAGACGGGGAAAGTGGCACTGGAACTCTGAGATACACACTGTGACTTTGAATAGTTGGAGAGGAGTATTAGTGACTGGCTGCTCTGGCCCAAGGGAAAATCAACAGCATCCTTCCTACAGCATAAGAGATTCCATGCTAGACTCATCTTCCCCAAAAGCAGCGAGAATTAGGTCTGTATCTATTTGGTTAACAAATGTTACAGAGCAACCTGTTTAACAAGGAACGCAAATCCGTGCTCACTTCCTTTGGACCTATACCCTAACCACACTGGTCAGTTTGTAATTACAAACGGCAATAGATACCATCAAACACAAATGCCCATGCTGTGTAGCACAGGTTCTAGGGAAGGCAGACACACTCTGCTAAGATGGAGGAGTATCTAGGTTCCCACTCTGCTCAAGGGACGCCAATATCCATTCTGACTGTTGGAAGGCTGAGTGTGTGTCTTCACAGACACATTGCCTTTCGGAAGCCAGCCATTCCTTTTACGGAGCCAGAAGCAACCTTGCTCTCATCTTGCAAGAGGAAATTGAGGCCTTGGGAAGATGAGCATTTGCTCATGATGACACATCTAGCCCTCAATAGGACACAGACAGCAATCCAAGATACTGCTCTCCAAGTTCTGCATCACTTCTAAGCTCTCACACTGCATATTTCCCCAGTCTTTGAAAATAACCTTTTGTACATCTTGCTTTTCTGAGACCAGAGATATGGAAGTATGCTCAAAATATTTAAAAACAGAGAAAGATCTGGCTTAAGTTGAATCTCTGCTAATTACTGTCAGATTCATAGGAAACTCCATTTCTGCAAATTCTGGTTAGAAAAAGCCAGCGTTCCTCAGGAGCTTGGGAAGCCCATTCCCCTCGACCAAAGGATATGACTTCAGACAAGTTAACCTCTGCTGATTCTCAGTTTTTTCTGCAAAATGGGCATAATTATGGAACACACACACACACACACACTGATGTATTAGTTACTTCCTCACTGCTGTGACAAAACACCTGGCAAAGCAACTTAAGTAAGGAAGGGTTTAATTTTGCTCACAGTTTGAGGACACAGTCCCCCATGGTGGGGAATGTCATATCTCCAGGAGTGTGAGGTAGCTGGGCACATTACTCTTGCATTCAGGAAGTGGAAAGGGATGAATGCCAGCACTTCAGTCTATGGAAAGTTGCAGCCAATATTTAGGGAGGGTCCTCCCATTTCAACTAACCTAATGTAGAAACTCCCTCACAGACATGCCCGGAGTTTGCCTACAGAGTGATTCTAGATCTTGTCAGGTTGGTAATTTTAACCAACACACACACACACACACACACACACACACACACACACAGAGAGAGAGAGAGAGAGAGAGAGAGAGAGAGAGAGAGAGAGAGAGAGGAGGACACAAATATATATGCATACAGATTTTATTGATATAATATACGGATACCTATATGGACACACACGTGACTATAAACACAGACAAATGTATATGTGTCTAGACTATGGAATTAGTTGAGAAAATAAGAAACATATTGCTTCCATTTCTAACTCTATTGCCAGTCTAACACCTTCATATTTGACCTGCTATGGGCATTTGGATTGTCATGATGTTGACGGCAATGCTGATGATGAAAGTGACAACATAATAACTGATAACAATATTAAGTAATAGAAAGTTGATGTGAGACACCTTTCCAAACATTAGTATATATCAACTCATTTAATTCTCGAGTATAATTCATTTTAGAGATGAATTGAAAAGTTGAGAAGTCAAATAGCTTGGCCACAAAAGCATAGCTAATAGAGCTGAGGTATGAACCCAAGTTATCTGGCTCCAATATCTCTTTTCTAGTCATAATAATAGACATTTAACAAATACACTCAAGTTAAAAACATAGTGTCAAGGTGGACATAATGTCACTTGCTTATAACCTTAGCACTTGGGGATGAGGGAAGGAGGTCATGGGTTCAAAGCCAACCTAAGCTATATAGCAAGACTGATCCCATATTCAATGATATTATCATTATTTGATCTTTTCAACATACAAAATAGCAGTTTCATGTGGTTCAGCCAAGTACCCGAAAGAAAGAGAACAGATGAGTTACAAAAAACACAAGCCTAAACACCACACATCCTTGTCTAGCAGTATTAAACTATGGTCCCTATATAAGATAAGCTAAAACTCCAAAGCATAGTAAAGGATTTGCATGATTTGAGGCTTCTTTTACCTTTGATCTAAATGTCAGAACACTTACACTGTCCTCCAAATTCTATACTATCTCATTTCTCAGTCCTGGCCTTTGGCTTCTGGCTCCATTACCCAGCACAAATAAATGTTGTCTTTATTCCTACTTCATCACACTGATGGGTAATGAGTTCTTGATTTGTTCTGTATTTCCAACTGCTTTTCTTCAGACCCTGAAATAAATGTCCATCCTCCTGTTGAATAGATTCAGCCCCATCTGTTCCACAACAGCAGGAACTTGAGGCAGCTGGCCACAGTGTGTCCACAGTCAGGAAGCAGAGAGTGATGGACACCCGTGCTTGTTCACTTTCACCTGTTTATTAAGTTCAGAACCTCAGCCTATGAAAGCGTGCACTCTGCACTCAAGGTGGATCTTTCTACCTCAATTTACCTAGCCCAGAAACTCCATCACAGACATCCCTGAAGGTTTGTTTCCATGGTGATTACAAATCCCATCAAATCAAAAATCAAGACTAATCATAACATCTAACATGTACAAAGCCTCACTAGGTTCTACCCCCAGCTTTAAAAATAATAATGTCCTGGGAAAAGGAAATGGGTAAAAACTTAACTTTGATATCAAAATCTTCCAGACAAAACTCACAACTGAAACCTCAGACAACTGAATTTTTTTTCATATCTTCCTCACTGCCACCAAATCCCCCAGCTAAAAGCATGTGGCAAACACATTTTTTTACAATGTGGTTGATATATTTGAAAGAAAAACATTTATATTTGGTTGATCCTTGCCAACAATAAATTAAATGCAATGTACAACTGATTTGCTAGAATAGCCATTTTAGGATGGATGGATCATCAAATCAGTTTCAAACAGCCAGGGAACTCTTGTAAATCCAAGTGGTTGCAGCTGTTCTGGGTTCCCCTGGAGAGGAGCGAGAGAAGTGGA